CTCTAGGATTTGCTAAGGGTTTGAGGGGCGCAATAGATGCTTTCTGGGGTCTCCAAGATCATTCAATAGGTATGACGGGGAAAAAAAGAGGTGGACACATCGGTAATTCGTTTTTTTTTTTCAAGTGTTGTCCGAAGGTCCATTAATAGAGGCCTAGAACCTTAGAATTGTAAGCTCCTTTCAAGCTGATACTGTGTGCGGTAAAAAGAAAAACAGTATTGTATGTTCTCGACTACAAGTAATCAAATGAATTGTGATGCATGTGTACTACTTTTTAAAGTAATTTTGCAATCATTTGATTACATTTTACGTAGTGATGTCGCAGTGCCAGTTGGCCTTATGTTTCGTAAGCTAGAAGGAAACAAGGATGTTAGACAGCAAAATAGTTTTTTATTTGCAATCAGAACCAGGGCAGAGGCACCTTTCTCACACTTGAAGGTAGATGCCTACTCTCCCTTAGAAGTGGTGCACCTCTCCTTTGCGCGGCGAAGCCACTCCTTGACTTCCGTTTCCACCTCTTTTTTCGTAGACTCTTTGCAGTGCTTTGTCCGCTTTATAGCAGCTGAAAGCAATAGATGACCCTTATAGTACAACTTAAAAAGGCAGGGAATTGCGTTGCAAACTTCTACTTACCAAAGATCAATTTGTACAGCTTAAGGCTACGGAAAACCTTCTTCCCTTTGCGCCCATCCATGCTGAACTTGGCTGCAGCTTCGTCACTAATCAGGTGTGCAAGCATAGACCTTACAGTTGTTTTGATAGACAGGTCCCCAAGGGAGGTCAGCTCCACAACCTGGAAGGAACGTACAGAGCACGACACAGTTAATACGAACAAGACATAGCCAGTTTTCGCTGTTTTACTCTGACCAGTGAAACGCTATCCCCAAAGCTACTTATATCATGGAAAGGGTTCATCTTGGGGCAATAACCTTGGTTATAAGAAAATGCAATCCTCAATTCACTGTCCATGCAAAATGCCAATGCCGTGTTTGAGCACATAAAACGTGGGGCTGGTGCCTGGGGAACGTAAGACATGACATAAGGAGCATTACGATACCCAGAAAGCAAGTATAGCCAAAAATGTTTGGCATTCAAGGTTAGCTGGATAGAAAGAACCTGAGCATGAATGGGTTTACAGCTTGTATTAACTGGGCTAGGCTTTACAATTAGCCAATTCACACCCCCTCTTTATCTCCGAGGCCAGTATGAGTGAACTGGTGATACCTTGAGAAAGATTGAAGGAATGTGAGGGCCCAAATTTTATTTTATTTGGGCAGTTGTTTACACCTCCTAGTCATTGTTCTATCTCATTAGTCATTTCCCATGCTCTAAGATCTGGAACTGTGGGACAGAGTTGCCATTTGAAGAAATACGGAAGTAGTCAGAGCTTGCTCTACACTCATGAAATAATGCTAAAGTATAGCACCATTACAAACACCTTTGTTGCTTACCAGAGAACAGGCAGTCTCACCCCTTCGATGCATCTCGATTTAAAATCACAGCTTGCTCCTAGCTTATTTGTTATCTACATGTCTTAACCTTAGCTGCACACTAGGGATAAGACATAACAGCAAAGCCTAGAGAATGCAAACACCAATACTTGCCTCAGTAAGTGACAAAAACTAGAGTATGGGCAGGCATTGATAACAGCAATTGCTTACCAAAGCCTCACTCGTGGCATCTGTAAGAGCGCCATCAAACACCTCAATTGCTTCAGGAGTGTCGAGGGGATCAACGAGGATCGGCTGGCTGGGCTCTACAACGAAACTCTCACGCGCTCGTAGCAATGTCGAAATCATGTCCATTATCTCCGTCTGCTGGCTCCTCATGACGCTCATCCCATTCAGCACCCGTCGCTGAAACTCTGCATGCAAAGAAAAGGCTTGAAATAAATATTGGCAAATAAAATTAGTGCAGGCAGGAGACAACATCCTACTTACCAGCAGCACTCAAGATCCTAGCAGTGGCCCGCAGATCAGCTAAAAAGAAAAAAAAAAGATGGCAAAAAGTCAAGAGCTTAGCCATTTCAAAACTATTCAAAGTTGTGCAACCATGCTGTGAAAGAAAAACAATTGAAATCAAATTAGCTTACCGCAGGTCGAAGCACTGGTGCTAGGCGTCATGTGTTGCATAGCCTGCAGTGCTGAAAAAATTTAATGAAGGACACACAAAATATCTTAATACCCAGCTGCAACACAATTCTGCAGTAAAGTACCTTGATCTAATCGACTGGGAGCCGACATCCTTGTCAATGTTTGAGATGCGGTTGAAAAACCACTGGCATCTACGAAGATAAAGACAACTGCAGGCGCTAGATGCAATAAGGGTACAAGGTGACTTGGATTGCTTCTCATATTTATTTATGTTATTTATTTATTTGGTACTTCTGAACTGCCCTTGAAGTGCCCGTGGGCCTACAGGAGGGTGCACCATGCATACATGCAAGAGCTCAAATGACACAGAATACAAAATTAAAAAACATGCCTAAAAAAGTAGGAAAAAAATTTACATATGTAATATCAACAGAATGTGACCTCCGACAGTGGAAAACATACAGCGCAGAAACCTGTTGCCCCCATATCTGTTGTTTAAAAAACAGAAAGGAAAACATACAATCAATGTATACCTTGAGCAGGGCTCGCACGCTAAAACTTCCAGGCAAAAAAATATCCACCTCTGGAGAGTTCACTTTATTTAATATGCTAAAAGCCTACCGAAAAGTTTCCAGATGTGAAAAAGTCACTTCGTTTTTGGCGGTATGGTGCTCCATACATTTGCTTGCTCAAATTTGATTAAATATAAAACTTCACCCAGAAAGATATGAAAGAGATGGCGATTGTTTTTGCAAGCTTTGCATTTGAATTTGCACTGCTAGTGTGCGTAGCTCTTTATTTGTAAAACGATCATGCAATGTACCTTTATTTCGTGAACTGGGAGCCGGTGTCCTTGTTGACGTTTTAGGTGTCTGGAACGAACCACAGGCACCTGCGAAGATAAAGACAATTGAAGGGGCTACATGCAAGAAGGTTACATGGTGACATGGATTTTTCTCATATTTAGGTTCCTAGATGTGAAGAAAGCCACCTTGTTTTTGGTGGCATGGTGCTCCATATATTTGCTTGCCCAAATTTGATTAAATATAAAACTTCAGCGCTCACACGGAAATGAAATTAAAGTTAATTGGTTCTGCAAGCTTTGCACCTCAACTTGCAGCAATATGTGCATAGCCCCTCATTTGTAAAATGGCCATACATTATAGGTTGTTCGCACATAACGTCAATTTGGCATTTTGTTGTTAGCTTGTTTTTTCACACAAATTTACTACATTGAAGGATTACATCGTAACCGGTTGAGATGATGTCAGCGGTGCTCTACGCATTTGAGGGGGCGTGTCAATCCTTGGAATGCTCGAGTTTGGCACACGCCAGACAGCTCACAACAACAAAATGGTGGACGAAATTACGTCAGTGAAAACACCCTATAGCTACCTTTATCTTGTGGACTGGGAGCCAGCGTGTTTATCGAAGTGCTAGACGACTGGGACGAACCACTAGCACCTGTTTGGAGATGTCTGATTAAGTTGGGAATTGGTAACATTAGAATACAAAAAGCGAAAAACAATATAAGTGGTTTTCAGGAGAAACTGTACCTCGCATTAGTGCAGCTTGCGACATTTCACTGTGTATTGATCTTGCCGGGCTCGCACTCTGTGATTCCAGTCTCTGGCTACTGGCTGTGAAAAGCGACCAGAAAACCTCAAATTGTAAGATGAAAAAAGTACAAATTGATCTCCCAAGATATAAAAAATGCAGTTGTGCCCCAACCCCCTATATAAGCACATTGTTTACGTAAAACGACAGATCAAGTACGTCTGACGACACACCCTAGACTTATCAAGTGCCAGGTTCGAATTCTAAGCTAAAGGTTAAGAAACAGTTGCAACGGTCAACAAGGCTGTCAGCTGCAGAACAAAATAAAAATCAAATAGCGTTACGCGAGTTCTGCCGTGCGCAGAGCGGCATCGGGGCTTCCGGGAATTCATCCGAGCTTGAGTCGGACTCGCTCCAGCGTGTGGGGCGAAATCTCCTACGCTTTGGGCGTATCTCCTCGTCCGAGAGATCAGATGTGAACCGCGACCGCTCCAACTTAGATCGCCCTTCTTCGTAGGAATCTGTAGTTACATAAGAAAAAAATACTTACAATTAATGAACACTGCTGCACGCATGAAGAGATGCAATATACTCACTGAATAGTCCTTTCACAGTCACCTCGAACTCAGAAAACCCTGGTCCTGGTGGCCCCCCTTTCGCACTAGCTTGACAGCCTTATCGGTGGACACCTTCGGCCATAAACACTTGTTTCCCGTGACCCACGTGCAAGGCACGATCTCCACCTCTTGGGTTAGCGTAAATTCCACAATTGCATACATCCCTGAAAATGAACAGAAAAACTGATGTGAGAAAGTCATCAACACTAACCGGATCTAAAAAGTTATGCAAAAGCTAAACATTTACCTTGAGCTGCTGAAATGGCGGCGGTTTCACGGTACCGTCGCTTTCACCGACAGTAAAACGTAAAACCCGGTCGTGGTAACACCAGAGTCCAAACCACGCGCTCCTAGAGCCGACAATGCACAAATATCGATGGATTTCGTTGGCTATGGATTTTAACGGATATGTGACACTAGCGGCACCTAGAAAAGTTGAAAACTACATGACGTCGGGGTTAAACATCAATAAATAAATAAATTGGTAGCGTTTGTTTTATTCATACATTAGTTTGGTGACTTATCAATTTAAACAAATCTCCACAGACAAATTATAACAGCACAGTCGTACCGTCGGTGTCATCCTTGGTGTTATCCTACGTTGATTTCATGAATTGCAGTTTACACCAACACGCTCGGCAACAAGCAGTAAAATAATTATGCCTAATTTTTAACAACAAACAAGAAAAGTAGCGAGAAGTATATTCTTATTGAATCATATACCGACAACCACTGATCGGTATAGCCAGCTTCGCGACCTCACCTGTCTCGGCTGGCAACCCGATTTTCGAGTTTTGTTCTTTTTCTTTGTTTCTTCCGTGTCCACGTTGTTGCTGTCGCGTGTCAACGGTTATACAACGGTGTTACTAAAATATTTTTATTTCTGTTTTAAGTAGTATGGTGCGTGTGTGGCAGTACTCACGTTGGACAATGTTCCAGAAGAACTTTTCGTCTAGTTGAACTATCTGCTTGAGTTGTCCATTTCGGGTTAGTACTTGCTTTCCATACCACGTCCTTTTTTTCCATCCCCCTCTCTTTTTGTGTTACTCGAAATTCATTCCGTTCATGTTTTCGTAAGTAGCGTCCTAAAGGACTAGTACAGATGTTGGCTAGCGTTTCACAACTTTCGTTCACCTATAGTTGAACGGCCTACTTGTTTCTATTTTTGGGAAAGTTAGTTTAGTCTCATTCTGAACCGCTTCGTTATTTCGCGCATATCATCCGTACCACGCTTTGTTTTTTCCGTCTTCGCCCGTTCCTGTCTGGCTGGAAGCACATCCAGTCTGCGACTGTGAGCTACAGGTACGTTGACAGTGTATGTGATAATTGCCCTCACTTATGCCTTTGTCAACTTGTTTTCTTAGGTCTGCACGGTGGAGAGGGGCTTCCCCACGCCTGGGTCAAGCACATCCAGTCTGCCGCTGTGAGCTACAGGTACGTTGACGGTGTATGTGATAATTGCCCTCACTTATGCCTTTGTCAACTTGTTTTCTTAGGGCTGCACGGTGGAGAGGGGTTTCCCCACACCTGGGTCAAGCACATCCAGTCTGCCGCTGTGAGCTACAGGTACGTTGACAGTGTATGTGATAATTGCCCTCACTTATGCCTTTGTCAACTTGTTTTCTTAGGTCTGCACGGTGGAGAGGGGCTTCCCCACGCCTGGGTCAAGCACATCCAGTCTGCCGCTGTGAGCTACAGGTACGTTGACGGTGTATGTGATAATTGCCCTCACTTATGCCTTTGTCAACTTGTTTTCTTAGGGCTGCACGGTGGAGAGGGGTTTCCCCACACCTGGGTCAAGCACATCCAGTCTGCCGCTGTGAGCTACAGGTACGTTGACGGTGTATGTGATAATTGCCCTCACTTATGCCTTTGTCAACTTGTTTTCTTAGGTCTGCACGGTGGAGAGGGGCTTCCCCACGCCTGGGTCAAGCACATCCAGTCTGCCGCTGTGAGCTACAGGTACGTTGACGGTGTATGTGATAATTGCCCTCACTTACGCCTTTGTCAACTTGTTTTCTTAGGGCTGCACGGTGGAGAGGGGTTTCCCCACACCTGGGTCAAGCACATCCAGTCTGCCGCTGTGAGCTACAGGTACGTTGACAGTGTACGTGACAATTGCCCTCACTTATGCCTTTGTCAACTTGTTTTCTTAGTGCTGCACGGTGGACAGGGGTTTCCCCACGCCTGGGTCAAGCACATCCAGTCTGCCGCTGTGAGCTACAGGTACGTTGAAGGTGTATGTGAAAATTGCACGCACTCATGCCTTTGTCAGCTTGTTTTCTTAGGGCTGCACGGTGGAGAGGGGTTTCCCCACACCTGGGTCAAGCACATCCAGTCTGCCGCTGTGAGCTACAGGTACGTTGACGGTGTATGTGATAATTGCCCTCACTTATGCCTTTGTCAACTTGTTTTCTTACGGCTGCATGGTGCAGAGGGACCTCCCCATGCCTGGATTTTGCACCATATGTTCATAACACACTTAAACTTCCCTTTAGATGACAGGGAATAGCTTTTCCCCGTCATCTACAGGTAGGTTTCAGTGTGTTGTGAATATGCACTCATACCTTCGTCAATTTGTTTGCTTGGCGGGGGAGAGGGGGAGCCGTAGCGGCCTCCCTCCACCGAGGACTAGCACTTCGTCACTCGTCCGGTTAATTTGCGATAGTTACCGGCACTGGTATCTTAAGCTTTTCTCGCTAGGTATGAGATTGCTTTTCCACGACACAGCCAATCTGGTATATAACATAGGCTAAAAATACTGAAAAAGTCTCTAGGCACAAGTGCCATTCATATAGTCCAATTAATATAATTAAAGCATATTTCTTTCATTTGTTTACAGACGGACACTCCCTCCAAGGTCTGACTAGGACATGGGTCAGACAACAGCAAGACAGCTGCTAAATATATGGCAGAAGAGCTTTCCAGGGCAGAAAGGTATTGCACAGTTGACAAAAAGGGCGACTGTCGAGGAGTGGAGCCACCAGAAGATCTGGAGAAAATGCATACTATTAAAATTATCATCTTATTTCAATATAGATTTGGCTCATGGTCTTTCATTGGCACAGCATGCGGGCTAGGGTACGACATTTTGAACATTCATAGCTGTCCAAGTAAAGGGTAAAGCATAAAGCGCCGTTCACACTCTTGCGACCGAGAGACCAGACCGGTTTTTAAGCCTTTTGCGACTTCTTAGGACCGGATGCGCTGCAGCGGAGCTGGTCCTAAGAGATCGCAAGAGGCTTAAAAACCGGTGTGGTCTCTCTCGGTTTTACTCGGTCGCAAGAGTGTGAACGGGCCTTTAGACGTAATGCCCTAATCCCTAGGGATTTTGAGGCTCGATATTCAAAGTATGTCCGCTGAGGATGCCTGTTCGGATGTCCTCCGGATGTACAAAACTCTTACCTTTGTACGTCCGTCGGACGTCCACGGGACGTCCTTCGGATTTTCGCGGATGGCCCTCGGATGTACGATATATCCGAAAAGGATATCCATCGGATGTCCGATGGATGTCCAGTGGTTGCTTGGGATACGACTGGGATGACGTTCAATGGAGAAAGAGCGTGGAGTTCGGATGCCTTCATTATTCTAGGTGCTGCTGGTTTTGCTCGACTTCCGAATTTACGAATGGGCCCGAGCTGAGATGAGCTGGTTGAGCGCGGGGCTGTGGATTTGTAGACGTTAGAATGCTCACTCATACTGCGTAGTAATAATAAATCTGTGAATGAAAGCAAGAATTACGAGAAGCCGAAAGAAAGGCATTGTTCGCTTTTTATTAAAAAGCCGAAGGTCTGCGTTTTCTTTTTTCTTGTTTTTTTGGTTTCTTTCAAGTGTTTCCGCCTTATTTTGTGCCGTTGAGCAGACGCTGAAATATGCGTAAAACCCTTACAATGAATGCCTTTGAGGGCGCGTTCATTGCTGTGTTTGTTTGCTATGAACGCGCACTTCCTAGCTGGTCTCAATTGTGGGCGAGCGCTGGCTGACTGATTTTTTGTAAGCAGTGGAATCATCTACACACAGATCAGCTGTCAGCATGCCATCCTTTCAGGAAAGCATACGCTTATGCGCCAAGAAAGTGAGAGACAGGAGGAAACGGGGCCTTTTTGGAATGTTTAGTGGGCAGACCCATTGATCTCTATTGTAGTGGGCGGGATCGCGTATCGGGAGCCATTCGGTGGCATTACCGGCGACCATTTCTTGACTTTAGGGATTCAGGCATGTCTATGGGAGGAACACAAAAAAAGTATGACTATTGAAGCCTTTACGCGGTGCTCGCAAGTGATGTTTGTGGTACGTCGATTAAAAAAAAATGTTCAGGAGCACCACCGACTTTGCAGGCGCTGCTTACTTCAGTTGTTACATCAATGACACCTTCAACACTTGAACGACACGCTCGAGTTTTAGATTGTCACAGAAACACTCACTACAGTTAAAAGCAAAAGCTCACACCAGAATTAAAATGTACAAGCACTTGAAACTATGCGAATGTCCCCAGTAAAGGCCTTCGAACATCCTGTGCTAGGCCCTAATCACTCTGAGATCACGAACGACTCCACATTGGCTCTAGGGACCCCTCGTCTCATTGAATCTCATTACAGTTTACCTACAAACAATGACGCAACCCGCGACTGGAAACCACTAAATATTTATTAAAACAATATGAATATTCTGCATTTTAATATTTCCGGCTAGAATATTATATCTTATTCCCAGAAAACAGGATAAAAGGTTCATTGTCGAGGATGTCTTGCCAAGATAAGACATTTCAGTTTATCTCGTTTCTTCGATAGAGTCCCATGCATTAGCTGGTGTCATTATATACCCCTTGTGCCTCTAAATAAGCTACGCTTCAGAGTAACGACACTTGGGCATATTGTGTCTTAAAATCGTGGTTCCCAATTGCCTGAAGCTTTAAATGAAATCACAAGAAACGCTTTTCCGCCCTCCACAAATGTTTAAACAGTTCGCGACAGAGCAAAGCAATATTACATGACCTCCCTAACACCGAATCTAATGCTGAGGAAGTCGCACTTTTGAATCATAACGATCGGCAGTTCCGTCTGCTCTGCATACGAGCCAGAACGGCGGCGCCCACAACAATGTTAGAGAACGGAGAGCCGATACACTACGCGCAGCTCATTTAGTGGCTCTAGATACCCCCGGTGGTGCCGCCCGACACAAGCGAGACAAGCGTCGATCCACGATCTATCCTGCTACATTAGAGGTCAGTGGGTAGAAATAAAGGTAGCTGCATTTGTCTCCACGGCGCTTCTCGAATGTGTTAGAAGGCGTAACGCCGTCATCCGGCGTTTGACTCTCACATTCGAACGTGTTCTACCAGTGCACTGGAAACAGGCAGCGAGCTTTAGTTCTACCCACTAATCATTCCAACCAGAGCTCGACGTTATGACGCCCCTGCGCGCTATAATCTCTCCTTCTCCCAGTTTCTCGGCCCATTCGTTGATTAAAAGTACAAGCAAAGCACACAATGTACTATCAAGTAATAAACTTTGCACCTGCCAGCAGCCCTTTGTCTGCAAACTGTATGGCTATTGAGCATCGCACAGCCAAGCTTGCCATATTCGGAGCCCAGCATGCGCATGTGTATCTTTAAAAAGTGAGCAATTCATACGCCCCACGTCGAACGCTAAAAATGGCACCAGTCAGAAGCCCTTTTCTGCTTACCATCATGACTCGTACAAGGTTCAGAACATACTAATTATTTATATGCGTCTAAAGACTGAATTCTATAAAACGTGGCTTTACAGCGAAATTCATTACAACGCACTGCCTCGTGTTTGTTGTCACCATACGATACACAAGTGACGAACGCCGCCGAGCCTGATACACTCAATCCAGCCGTCAGTTCTGAAGTGTAGTGACGCCGCGCTACACACCAAGCTGCCTGGGGGTCTCGCAAGCGTTAAAGCCCCCTATTCAGAAACCCCCTTTCATTTGAGTACTTCCGGATGCTGCCAGGGTGGCCAAATAGTTTCTTGATGGCCAGTGTTGAGCAACTGCCTTCTGGAATTTAGAAAGCTACTGCAGTGCGATGCGCATTTGTTTTTAGTTGTGTGCGGACGGAAAGTTCAATACATATATCTATATGCGTACTCCTACATGTTGATTTCACAATAAAGGAGTACATAAATTACCCAGGCCCGCAAAACCCTGCGTGCTTGTGGGCGGGACACTATTGCAATGGATCAGACATGTGCCCCCTGACAAAAATGTAATGGATTACAATTACAACTTACCGAAACTCAGATGTAATGGATTACCGTTACACTTTACTTTTGTTGAAAAAAAACAGATTACTTTACTCGTTACGTTACAAATGACTTTCACGTTACTTTTTCAGTGATGTTTTCCAAGATCTTCTACAGCATTACTTTTCATTTGTCATACGGTAGTCCTTGTTAAAATAAAATATTCTACTGAAATTTATCCTTAAGCAACCGGAAAGAATAAACACAAATTCGGGACGCAAACAGACGATACATCGTATCGTCTGTATCATACATCGTTGTATCGTCTGTTTGCGTCCCGAATTTGTGTTTATTCTTTCCGGTTGCTTAAGTATTTACCAACACGCTCGTTTTTTAATGTTGAAATTTATCGTCCGATGAAATCTGGACAATCAATTAAAGCTAACCTAACCTGGCCTGACCTATCCTATAACCTTACCCAAACGATGAAGAGCGCAAACAGCGCTGCGTCATTCATTTGACGTGCATTTTAAATTGGATAGCAATTCGCTACACATTTTTTTGCCTTTTGCATTTAAGTATGAGAATCGCAGTATTTTGAGAGGAAAGAGGCACAAATCATCGCACTTATTCTAAGATAAATAATATAAAATGTAAATGATAGGTATCAAAGTTCGAATAGTTCCAATGCTCCTATGCCCTGAACGGATTTGGGTGTCACGATGAAAAAGACAGGCTGGGCTGCAGTTTCATATGTCGTATATTTGCCCTTGATAGAGAAACAAGCATCCGGCCGTGATCCAGTGCATCCGCCAGCCCGCAGCTGCAGTAGACGATGTCGCGTGCGTGCCCGAGAATGCTCACGTGCCTCGGCTTGTTTGCAGCAGGTGCGGCGAGGGATCGTTACAGAGAATCATTAATCGTGAGATTCAATCACACTTGATTCGAGTGCGAGGCGTTCTCGCAATTCTAAGGGAGGTATGACAAGTGATCACGATGGGCGTACTCAAATGTCAAATTTGGGTGCTTTTGCGAGGAAAGTCAACAAATGGCATCTGGTACGCCTCTTCGGGGGAATAAGGTTTAATGTCGATCCCCTGGGGATCCTTTGACCTGCAATTAAATGCGCGGTTGCACGGCTACCTCTCGGCAATAAGCCTCCGTCAGACCGCACTCTTGGATGACAGCATGTCATTAGACGAATGCCCTTCTGCGTGACCCGTCATGTTCACAGTTAACATTTGACGTAATATATCCATCAATCAACCAAACTGTCGTATGAAGAATGGTGGCATATGGGAAGCAAGGGGGACACAAATTCCAGTGACAACCTTCCAGGCACGCGACGCTGCGTCTAGAGACGAAAAATCGTCTCTGGCGTTTCGCGGCTGTAGTGGCGCTGAAGCAGACTTGTACGTAACTTAAATACTCTACTTAAGTTACTGTATCTTAAATACGTTTGTGAGTAACTTCGTATCTTGAAAATACTTTCAAACATCAGTATTTAGTACTCTAACTTAAATACCTTTTCCCAGTAACTTCTACTCATTTTAAAATTACTTTTAAGTTATTTTCTATTTTTTTATTTTCTTTAGAGGTGGGAAGCTTGCAAAATATTGAACTCTAGTTATTTTGGCTAGGCACCCTGCCATTGCAGTTACATTTTGTGCCAGGTAATGCAGTCACTTCCGTGCTTCTGCTGCAGGAGGTGACAGGGAGAAGCAGGTGTCGCAGCCTCAAGCCGAGCAGACGCGTGTCGTGTCTTCTAACTGGGCAAAACGTCAAAGCACATTTTCTTGCAATTTGTTTGTGGCCAAGCACAAGCGCAC